TATTACACATGAAGAAACCAAGTCACAGAGAAATGAAGTAAATTGCTCAAACTCCCCGAAAATGTGGTGGGAGTCAGGGGAGGGGGGACAGTACAAAACTAGGCACTGGTTGATCTGGAAGCAGGTTCTAACCAGCTTATGATATGCACTGGTTCATTGCAGCTGCAGAGGTAGGAAGGTTACAGACAGATCAAAGATATCTTTATATTCCAGGCTAAAGAGAGAGGGTCTTATCTGGTTGGTACAACTTTTAGGTGGAAAATGATTTGACTGAATTTATAGTTTTGAAAAATGTTCAGGTCGCCACATCTCAAATGGATTGAAGGGTAGAGGTAAGGCCGAGGTACTAGTAAGGAGGATGTAAAAACCAGAAGAGAGATAATGAGGTCACATCTAAGATAAAAGTAATGTAGAAGATTTTTAGGGAATAAGAACCAAAGAACATATATTGAAGGAGATAGAGGAGGAATGAAGAATCAAAGTGGTCTCCAAGGTCAGAGAGCCAATAATCATGAAATGAAATCTATAATTTGAAGCTGGGCATGGTGGTATGTGCCTGTTGTCCTAGCTATTTGGGAGGCTGAGGTGGGAGGTTCCAGAGTTTGAGCGCAGCCTGGATAAAGAGCAAGATGGGGTCTACAAACAAACAAACAAAATATATGATTTGAGACAATACTCTCTTATAAATAACTGCGTTTACTTTTTTTTCTTTTTTTCTTTTTGAGATGGAGTCTTGCTCTGTCACCCAGGCTGGAATGCAATGGTGTGATCTTGGCTCACTGCAACCTCTGCCTCGTGAGTTCAAACGATTCTCCTGCCTCAGCCTCCCAAGTAGCTGGGATTACAGGCACCTGCCACCACATCCAGCTAACTTTTGTATTTTTAATAGAGATGGGGTTTCGCCATGTTGGTTGGCCAGGTCAGTCTTAAACTCCTGACCTCAGATGATCCACCCACCTTGACCTCCAAAAGTGCTGGGATTACAGGCATGAGCCACCCACGCCCGGCCTAATTTTAAAAATATTTTTAAGAGACGGGTATAGCTGTGTTGCCCAGGCTGGTATTGAAACTCCTGGGCCCAGGTAATCCTCCTGCCTCAGCCTTCCAAAGTGCTGGAATTATAGCCAAGAGCCACCATGCCTGGACATAAAATAAAATGGCTTTGTTTTCTAAAGCCATGCACATCCTCGAATGTCTTTCTCTTCCCACTTACTTACCAATGGCTTGCCCACGTAATAAAATTTGGGGTTCATAATTTTTTTCACAAAGCTATATATCATATTCAGTTTTCCCTGGCATTTGTTTTTGCAAAGAAAAAATGAAATACCAGTTTGATTTTCCCCTTTATGAGTATCTTAATTTTCTTTCCTATAAGTTTGCAACATTTTTCTTTCATCCTGGATATGACTTCTGTTAATTTTGCCTGGAATTTAATGAGTACTTTTGCATTAAAGCTCCAGGTTAGGAATATATCCTTGCATTAATATCACAACCATTACTTCTCCTACGTCTGTCTACACAATTCTCTTGTTCTGGAGTTATGTGGCTTCTTTTTACTGGCCCAATGACAATTCTAATTTTACATTTACATTTTAAACTTTCTTTTCTATCTCTCTACTTATCTAGATCATTTTCTTCTGCAGCTGCTGACTTCTGTTTAAAGGAAACCATGTTGTCTTTCATCTTTTTGAGGATCCTGATCAGATATTTACTGGTATTTTTATAGAAAGAAATATTATCCTATTAATATTTAGTAATATAAATAATTCAATAATTCGTTATTGCTAATACAATGCTTCAAAGTAATGTTTCCTTTATGCTAAATTATTTTTCATGTCTTATATCATTGTTACTATTTTTAAGTGTTTCCTTTATTCATAGTCACAAATCTAGCCAGATCTAGAATTCGCTACTATATATCATGAGAAAATGGTATCTTTTGTTTTTAAAGAAAGTCAAGAATTTTAGAAGCATGGCTTTTCAAATAATGACATATTATGAATCCCACCTTTCAATATGATTTTTTATAGTTTTAGTATATTACAATGATTTAGCTTTAGTATCCAAGGGGCCTGGGTTTGAGTCACAGCATGTGTGGTGGTAAAGAACATGGACTCTGGATCTGAATTGTCTGGATTCAAATCCTAGCTCTGCCACTTAACTCACTGTGTAACTATGACAAGTTATTTAAACTCTTTGTGGCTTTGTTTTCCCATCTACGAATGGGATTAATAACATTAGTTACTTCATAAGGTATTAGGAAGTTAACAAGATAATATACATAGAACAGTCCCTAGGACTTAGTGAATGGTATATATATATTTGCTTTGAAATTCTATCTCTGTCACCCACTAACTGAGTAACTTTAGTCATCATTGAATGTCTCTAAGCCTCCATTTTCTGATCTTTAAAATGGATATAATAATACTAATGAGATTTATGTAAATATTAATAATATTAATCTTGTAATGCTGCTTATTCATACCGTGAGGATTAAATGAGATAATTTATGTAAAATATCCCCACATAAATGCACACTGCTTGGTTGCAACTGTTATTTAATAGTAAAATGCAACCTGGGACTATGCCACATTTAACTGGCTTAACTGAGCATTGCAAGTCTCTTGATTCCACAATTTCTCTATTATTAAATTTCTGAAATTTAAATTATTTTACAGATGCATAATTCCAGAGGGATTAAGTTACAAATTCAAAGCTACATTGTCTGTGCAGAGAAAGATTTGAAGCAAGGTCAATTAGATTCTGCTTTT